GTAATAAATGTAAATTGCTACTGCTGTTTGTCTTTATTTAGCATACGAGTAGAAATATGTTTTTTTTGTGTGTAATTTGGTTTAAAAAAATAGGACGCGAGGGAGGACCACGGGCAGAAAACCTTAGCAGCTAAAGCAGATATTATCCGATCCACCAGCGGCATTTTTCATCCCAAACATCCTCATCTTTGACCCATCGCCCCAAAAATCTTCACCGTTGACCTATCGCACCACACATGTTCACCTTTGACCTATTGCCCCATGACGTCAGACAACGTTCTTCCGGTTTGGATGTGTGCCGTCACAGTGAGCCCTTGTGTCTTGATTGTTTTTGTTTTTTAAATCAGCACAACGCGTCTCATATTTAACCTCAAACTAAGAAATGACGACACAAGTCTTTTGACTCTATTTGTCTTTATGTTTGACAGCTTGCTATTTAGTTTTATTTGCATCTAGACTTACAGTTTGCGATTTACGATTTTATTTACCTATAAAGGTCTACAGATTGCTATTTACAGTTTTATTTAGGCTACATCTAGATCAACGGCTAGCAATGTAGCCTAGGGTTTTTGTGTACATCTAGATCTACTAGAATTATTCCTTTTTCTCTAACGATCTTGTCCCAATGAAAACAATTTGGGGTCACGTCTTGAATCATTTGAACTAAGCTTTACACTTTACATGTGTATGTATGCCACTGATTTCTGAGGTCACGATTACCTTTCCCTTGATTCGTACACCGCCAACATTAAAATTTGGAGTCGTTTCGTTCTACATACACGGTATACGCGTATATTTCCTTCTACATACACTGTGCGTGTAGGCCTATATTTCCTTCTACATACACTGTGAATGTTTTCTGTTTTACATACAAAATACATGTAGGTCTACATTGCCTTCTACATAAACTGTATTTGTACATTATTCTACCCAAAGACCGCTGACTGTCTGGTAGGCCTACATCAGGACACAATGCACAAAGCCACATTCCCTCTGAGTCTTAGCATCAGCGTTTCTACTAGAGCCAGGACAGGACTTAACAATATTTAATTTCGTAACTGAGAAAAGATAACAGGGGAGACAACATACTTTTTCATCATGTGAACCTGGTCTTACTGATCGTTCTTCAGTTTTGGCCATTCTCAACTTCTCGGAATAGTCGGAGTTCGTTGGCAGTCGGCAGTATTATTTCTCTCGGAAATAGAATGCTAGAAGAACTCGGTCATCCTTTCCTTTTGGGAATCATTCCAGCAGATTTCTTTGCAAATCATTTCTTTTTTACCCAAGAACAGTTTTGAAGTCTAGAATCATAAGTAGACTGGTCTACTCTATTCTCGTGCAGCACTTGATTGCACTATCTGTTTGCAGACTGCTCTGCTCTGCTCTACTCTACTCTCATGTAGCTCGTGATAAATATGTCAAGTCGCTCATCCTACATTACAGGGACTCGACTTGCCTCACTCCCC